ATATTAATTTTAAAAATAAATTTTTAAAAATAAAAAATATTATTTTAATAATTTTTTTTAAATACTTTAAAACTACATCTCTAAATATATAATTAATTATGTATTTTTTTTTAAAAAATAGTATAATTAAATTCAACTGCGTCGATATAAACCGCCAATAAAAGTCTAAAAGCTTAAGCATCAATCAATCAAACTCTGCAATGAAGAGAACTCAGCGATTCAAGCGAGTCTCAAAGCCCAAGAAATCGATTCAAGAGAGCGAACCCGACGTAGACTCAGCTGCAAATCGGTCAACTCAGCTTCTGAAATCCATAAGCACTAGAATCAAACCCAAAAGGCCTACAATTCTTTCACTTCCACCCCCAACGTCATTGACTTTTGATCAAAGGACAATCTTGCCCCGTGAATTCTTTCAAATTGACGCTCTTGACCTAGCTCCTCGTCTACTTGGGAAGTTCTTGAAGAGAGACAACGTTGTTTTGCAAATTACTGAGGTAATATAGTTCAAAAGTAAGAATTTTGAATTCCTGAGTTTTCTTTTTAATGTATTTTGTTAGCCTAGCCGAGATGAAAAAAATGAGCAAATGGGCATGTAATAAAGGAATGATCTTTGACAGGTAGAAGCTTATAGACCGAATGACTCAGCTTGTCATGGCAGATTTGGGATTACAGCACGAACTGCTCCAGTTGTAATATACACTGCACTTTTTATTTATTTTGAACATAGTTTTGGTCTGGTTGTATTAATTGATTATTGTGTTTCATTTGTTTGATTGGATATAGTTTGGACCGGGAGGGCACGCTTATGTTTATCTTTGCTATGGTTTGCATACAATGCTCAATGTTGTTGCGGACAAAGAAGGAATTGGTGCTGCTGTGTTGATTCGTTCTTGTGCTCCGATTAGTGGTAATTTTGATGTAGCTTTAACGAGTAGTGGCATTTGAATTGTTTTTTGTGAATGCGCTTTCAGTTGTAAATTAGTTCTCTTCTCCTTGCTTTGTATTACTGGCTTCCAGGTTCTAGCCCTTTGTCTCAGTGCAGGCATTTCGCGTTAATGAAGCCCTCCACACCCCGGAATATGATATTGGGCACCCATTACTTAATTTAGCACATATGGAATCTGATATAGAGGAACTGTACAGACACTATTTCGGTATTTTGGATGGTTTACTGTTAGTTAATATGGTTATAACTGAAAACTTTGTGGAAGCAATTATACAGCTCAAGAGGGTATCACTTGAATGAATTTCACAAAGGTAAAATTATAACAGCTCAGGTCTAGATAAAAAAATTCACACCAATAACTATCTGAATAGCTCAGATTAGAGAAACTGTGTTTGCAACTGCTACGACGATTCAAACTAATCGCTACTTCCCTTTTGTTCTTGATGAATTGTAGCTGCTCATCATATGAAACTGTGGAAAAAACTTGTATTGCATCTCTCCTAATCCAGTTTGACATGGCAGGGATGGATACCATTCAGGAGCGACGCGGTCAGCAAACAGATAAGCCTGCTCTCCTCAATGGACCTGGCAAGGTCAGTTCTGTTTTATCGTCCACCTTTCACACTTGACATACATTTGACTGGACGGCAACTAAACAAACTTGTGGAATTGTCATGATTCAATAGTAAATTGTGTGATGAATTTTGTGTGGTTCTACATGTATGGTGATAACTTATAACCTTTTATTGCTCATTGATGTCTTTGATTAACAAAAGAATTTGAACTTACTAAGATTAACTGTCTTTAATCATGGAAAAGGTCATCATCCAGCTATGATCTTAGTGAACTCGGGCACCTTTGTTGAACTATTTTTCATATTTCTTCTAAATTCCATAAATGGTAACAAAAACGTGTTCCATGTTTCAGGAATTATAATGGTGCAATGGCTCATTTTAATTTCCACAACCGAGTGTTTTTAAGAAAAATTTGCAAGTAGTTATAAACTTGCTAGCATGTATGAAAGTTAATGTTGATTAAAATGTTGGCATCATCCTTCAACTAGCTTTCTCATGATATATGCTGGGTTAGTTTTATTATAGAATATCACAAGTAGTCGATTGCTGTGCATAACATGTTGGAAAGTACCCAAGATTTAAGGCAAATGGAGCATGCTTTCTTCTGTTCGGCAGATCTTCTCATTTGCTGAATCATTTATGTGCCATCTAGATTGGTCAAGCACTGGGGATTTCTACGGAATGGTCTAACCATCCCCTTCACTCTCCTGGTAAATTTTCTAGTTGCCCGCCCTTAATCCAAATCTCATGAAATTCACATTTAACTGAAATGAATAAATGGACATGGCTCAGGTGGTTTAGAACTCTTGGATGGCCCAGAACCTGAAAAGATACTAGTCGGTCCACGTGTCGGCATTGATTATGCTTTACCTGAACATGTAAGTGCACTGTGGAGATTTGCCATTGCTGGTACTGCCTGGATAAGTGCTCCCAAAAACACTCTAAGACCGCCCTAATATTGAAGCAGCAATGTGCTATGTGAAGTTGGGAGCAAGAGAGAACCCTTTTGTCTTAAATTGGTGAAGCATCTCACCCCTGCAATGTACACGTAATTTTGAAGGAAAATGAGACGGCATTTTTTCTTTCTTTCATTAAAAATGGTTTGAGTTTCCCTGTTTCTGAATTGTACATGATGACCACGCAGAAAAACACATGCTCATCAAGTCTTTGAACCTATGCAAGGGGCCAAGGCTGTCCGTTTTTTCTTTCATTAAAAATGGTATGAGTTTCCCTGTTTCTGAATTGTACATAATGACCACGCAGAAAAACACATGTTCATCAAGTCTTCGAACCTATGCAAGGGGCCAAGGCTGTCCGAGTCTCCGAAAGCCTCGTTTGTTGTTTCTCATGGGCTCTCTAATCCCAAAAATTATTGCAACTTAATCCTTGTAGTTTAGCAAAATAATTAATTACTCCTCATGGTTTCAGAAGCTATTATTAAATCCCTCTTTTTTTTATGTTCATTTACAGCTTAATCTTTTGTCCATTTTATATGCTTTTTTTTTTAATTTTATTATGCTTTTATTTAAAAAAAATAGAAAATGTAAAAAATAAGTAGATACGATAGAAAGTTTGACAGATGATTTTTTTTATAAACAAAATACCATTAAATTAAGCATTTATCAACAGTAGTCTAATAACTATTTAATTATTATTTTTTACTATAATGAGTAATTAATTTGTTTTGATAAACTATAAGGATTGAATTATAATTAACTCTTATATATACAAGTCTACTTGACATCTTCTGCTAGAAAATGCTAAGAGAAGACCCTAAACAAGACTGTCATTAATTTATACAACGAATAAAACACCAATCCACTCTTTGGCATGCGAGGAGGCGCTCCCTTGTCTCTGTAAAGTCGCCTTTATCTTTCTCCAAGACTTCAACTGGCTATTTGCGGCCACCTCATTCTAATTCTCCAACAACACAAGCCATCTATGTGGGTACGCGGAGAGCCTTTTTCTAGTTAGAAATAATCAAATAAGGGCAAATCTTTACGATGATTATTGTTTAAACAACAGCCTGACCATTCTTTGCCAGCAAGAAGCATACTGAGATACTGTGGCATGTTTTCATTCCCTTGTGATAAGAAAACAGTTCTCTTTGCAAGGACGGCTTCCCAGGAACACAAGGAATTATGATATGTTTATTGCAGCTAACACAAAGTGCAGCCATCCCAACCCAAATAACCAGTAAGTATCAAATGTCAGGGTTGAAAAAACAAGCAGATGCTAAACCAAATTATATATCAAAATGCTTAATATTTGGGCAATACATAACTATGATACAGATGCACAAGCTCAGCATAAACAGCTTGTAACAATAAGAAGAAAAGTGCCAACAAATAATTGGGCTATGATATGTTTCGCTTCGTGATATAAAATACCTTTGATCATGACATGATCGCAAACTTTCACGCAAACCCTTGGAAAGGAGCACAAACCATCTGATATGATGAAAGATAATATCAGACTCCTGGAAAGAAGCGAAAACAAAATTATTTGAATGTGATAGTTTGATTAAAGGATTGAGCAGCTATTTTCATACAATACCTAAAATCAAGCAGTGGAATATAAAGGTTAATCCTGGCGTCAGCAAGACACTGCATGACTCTTCACTCATTGTGCAGCAAATAAATGAACTCTGCTCATGCCTCGAATAAATGGATTAAACTCGGTTGTATTAATAACTTTGCTATGATCCAGGATGCAACCGACTATAAAATTCTGCAAAGTCAAGCCGAAAGAAGAGGAATTTCAAATCAACATGTTGCTGCACAGGCAACTGAGACAAGAAACCTTCAAGCAACACAGTATATTCCTTTGATATTGCTTCCAGTTCCTGCCCCATATTTTGAAGAAATTCACCAGCACGTTCTTCTAGAGCTTTCCTGCCATCATTAAGCCATGATCCAGGCTCTGAAGATTTGTCACTTGTCTGCCTCCGTGATCTGTTCTTGTCTTGAGAGGATAAAGAGGATGCCCTAGTTCTGCAGATGATAGGAATAATGAGTGGTTGGACACATTCATCAAAGGAAAAAAAAACTATTCAAATATTGGCATTGGCATTATGTATTGATAATGCTAGCATTCACTGACAAAATAAAATCATTAAAAAACATAGCAGATTTTTACCTTGTTTGTAACTCATAAATTCCTTCATACAACCGATCAGCATGACTTCTGAAACGTAATATAAGGTCAAACAAGACAAAGAGTGACTTGTAAAGGGATTGGGATCGTTCACCAAGAAGAGATTTCTCTACTATTGAATGGAGGTACTTATCATGTGCTGCAAGTAGATCATCAAGATCCCTCGCTACTTCCATCTCATTTGAGAAGTTAGACCATGAAACCTCTAGAACTTCAAACATGATATAATATTGCAAGTTTGTTACAAAATGATTCATCTGATTCCAAAGGACCTGGCATTGTCTCAGTGTTGAGAGTAACTGCAACTTAACTGCATGCTGCAGCTTGGTGAAAGAATGAGAAGTAATACAATTAGGTTTCATTGTCTTCCACGCACCAATAAGTGCATGCTCCACTCGCCTCAGCTTCCACAGGAAATTAAAAATTCTTAAATATCTTGCCATAACAGATTCTGTAAACACTGTGTCTAATGGTACTCTGGCATCATATTCCAATGAGAAAACATCCCAGC